GGCAGCTCAGCGGCTGCTCAGCTTGGGCCGGGACTCGAACTGCTGTTGCTCAGAGCTCAAACTCTTGAGCGAGCTCTTAACCAACTGAGCCACTCGGCCGGCCCCCTTATGAGTATCTTAATATTTTAATTTCACCAAGTACATTAGTTTCCTGTGGCTACTATAACAAACTTAGCGACTTAAAACAACAGAAATGTATTCTCAGTTCTGGAGGCCAGAAATTCAAAATAAGGATGCCAGGAGGGCCACACTCCCTCTGGAGGCTCTAAGGGAGAATCTGTCCTTTGCCACTTCCTAGCTTATGGTGGCTGTATCACACATTCAATCTGCCTCTGTGGTCTGTCTCAAATTTTCCTTTACCTCTCATAAAGACACCTGTCATTGGATTTAGCCCACCTCACACCCCCAGATAATTCAGAATGATCTTCTTATCTCCTGATCCTTAACTCAATTATATCTACAAAGATTGTTTTTCCAAGTAAGGCATAATCACAGGTTCCAGGCATCAGAACATGGACATACCTTTCAGGGAATCACCATTCAACCCCACTATACTAGGAGATTTTCAATAAGCTCCAAATGTTTAAAAAAAAAAAATCATTTGGGTAAAATGTCATATTGAAGAAAGAAACATACGACGACATTATACACAGCAGAAAATAAAAAACCAAAGCCTTTAAAAAGATATGTATTTCATACACGATGGGAAAAAGAACTCTTAGATAATAAATATATTGCAGTTAAACATAGACTTCCTAAATTTATATTTACTTGCAAATATTAATAACCTAAGTTATTCTTCTACATAAAGGAGAAACTCTACTGTTCTAAAGGAAGACATGGAGGGCAAGCAATACTTTGAGAGTAACTATTGCTATGTCTTCCCTTTCCTTGCATGACCTAACATGTTATATGGATTAATCACAAAAGACAGAGCTAAAATTTCCCACTGAGGGTACTAAAATTTGATGCTTATGAATGTATACATATGTTAAATATTAGATACAAGATTCTAAAACTAATCAAAGTATGAAAACAATGACATAAATACTTAACAGTTAATATAAACTTTGCTATTGGGTATGTTCCAGGCTTCCTCTTCTATTCTAGTGAGATCTGCTCCTTTTTTGTCTGAGGTCTTTCACTGCTGGGCTCCAGTACACTAAATTGCTTAACATCACCAAGGCCTTGGTCATGAAGAGGATTTATTTTACAAACAAAACAACTTCTTCCTTCTGTACTAACGATCATGGTTGTTTTTCTGCTACTTTGCTTCTTCCCATTAGTTGTAAATTTCCTTATGGGCAAGAGCACACACTCTGTGTTGGCTGTCCCACAGAGTAGTGGCTGGTTAATAAAGAAGCCACCCACTCAACCTTTTTCTCATTTGATCTCATCCAAATAAGTCTAAAGGATCAATGTTACAAAGGACTCATGACAAAGGTCCAACTTTTACAAATATCTTTGACTGGCCAGGGAAAGCTTTGTTTCTTCAATCATGCCCCCAAATGAGTCATTATTGAATCAAGAATCTCTTCCTACCCATTAGAGGCCTGTAAGGAACAGATGCTTCAAAGATTAGTTCAGAGTAATACAGATGTAAGGAGAGTGAACCAACAAACAGGAAGTTGTGGAATACAAGAAAGAGTAAACAAAGAAAATCCAATAAAATATACAGTTCATTAAAATAAGAATAGTCATTTATATAAATCCCCTAGTCACTGTACTTTTGACAGGCTCCTTTTACTATTTAGAAATTAAGATATTTTCAGTCTTTTGCTTTCCTTTTCCACATTGTCTCTAATATTCTGTAGTTTTCTGGAGTTCTGGACCAAGAACACCAAGCTCTCCCTAAAATCACTAGTACCATGATCTCTGCCAACATTTTCAAGCTCATCAAACAAAGCCAGTGTCTGTTTGAGTTTGGCCTGAACAATTTTTTGCTCTTCTAATTCTGCAAGAAGGGCCTGTTTAGTGCATAATTCAGCCTTATACTTCTCCTGTAATTGTTCAATTTCTTTTTGGAGAAGCCGGAATTCTTCCTCACTATAAGGATGCATCTCCTGAGATTTATCTTCTGGAAGCAAGATGTTTGGGGGAATACGCAATATCCACTGTAAAAACAGCTGCTCCATTTTGACAAAAAGGTTATCAAAACGTCCTTTCATAAAGGAAAGAAACTTCTCTGTGCATTTACGAATCTGAACTGGGCTAATCTCAGAGTTTGGGATGCCATCCAGCTTCTTCAGAATAACCTGCTCAACAGCCTGCATCACTTCAAACAGGTAATCTTGAAATGCAATGTAGATCCTGAGCATACAAGTTTGTGGTGTGAAGCCAAAAAACTGGGTCTCATAGGTCATTGGATCGACAGACATCTTGGCTTATTTTGATTGTGAAAAACCTGCAAATGTAAAAAAAAAAAAAATCACTTGGATAAAAAGAAACCATCTGAGGAAAGTAACAAATCACATTACAGATAGAAAAAAGAAAAACAAACAAAAAATAAGAAGTTTGTGTTCCTTGATACCCAATGTCACTTTCAGCCTCACTCATCCACAATAGGATACAAACCCTTGCCTCTTTGAGGCTCTTTCCATTAGCCTATAACGTCCCTTTCCCCTTCCTCATTGTTCATTTCCCTCACTTCTCATTTACTTAGGACTCTGGCCTATGGCTCAGTCTTCTAAGTCTGTTATCACCCTAGACAATGTTCAAATTTAGACAGATGACCTAACTAGCACCCTAGAGACTCCGTTTCATGAGTTTCAATATCTTCATCTTCACTTTAAGATACCTAACTCTTGATATTTGTAACTTTTTTCCCCAACTGCCCCTATTTTTTTACCACAACTTCCTACGCTATTCTTCCAACTCTCATTCACATGCTCATACTATGCCTTAATCAAGTCATCAGCAGTGCTCAACCTGTGGGTCGCGACCCCTTTGGGGGTTGAATGACCCTTTCACAGGGGTCGCCTAAGACCATCGGAAAACAAAAAGATATTTACATTACGATTCATAACAGTAGCAAAATTACAGTTATAGAGTANTTTATATATCCTAAATACAAGTCCATTCTCAGATATGATTTGTAAAAATTTTCCTCCCATTCTGTGGTTTATCTTTTCACTTTTGTAATGGCGGTTTTGAAATACAAAACTTTTTAAATTTGGATGTCCCATTTATCTATTTTTTTTTCTCCTTTGTTACTTATGTTTTTGGTGTCATCTCTATTGAGCCTAATTCAAGACCACAAGGATTTAAGCCTGTTTTCTTCTTAGAATTTTTATAGTTTTAGCTCTTATATTTAGGTCTTTGATCCATTTTGAGTTATTTTTGTATAGGGTATGAGGTAGAGGTTCAATTTCAATCACCAATGGCCAATGATTTATGTAATGAAGCCTCGATAAAAACCCAAAAGTTGTGGATTTGGAAAGCTTCCAGAATGATTGGGTAACCAGAATGCTTCCACCAGGCCCAAACTTCATGAGGATAAAAGCACCTTTGTTTGGGACTTTGCTCTATGTATCTCTTCATCTGGCTATTGATTCATATATCCGTTGTAATAAACCAGTAATCTAGTGAGTAAGGTTCCCCTGAGTTCTGTGAGCCACTCTAGCAAGTTAGTTGTATCCAAGGAGGGGGTCATGGGAACCTCTGATTTATAGCCAGCCAGTCAGAAGCACAGGGAACAACCTGGCCTTATGACTGGCATCTGAAGTAGAGGGCAGTCTTTGTGGGGCTGAACCCTTAACCTGTGAAATCTGATACTATCTCTGGGTAGATGGTGTCAGTTGAATTGTAGGACACCCAGGTGGTGTCCAAAATTGCTTGGTGGAGTGGGAAAACGCCCCCCCCCCCACCAAACCCCCCCCAACATACACACATCAGAATTGAGTGCGGAACCTCTTATATAGTATTCCCTTATAATTCATTTTATTTCTGTAAGGTTAGTAGTGATGTCTACTCTTTACTTTCTATTAATACCATGTCAAACTATCTCCCCAATTGACTGCCTGACACAGAGAAAAGTCTACTTGAGGGTACATAGTGGGGAACAGGCATGATGTTTTAAGGAAGAATAAATACAAGGGCAACCTTGGTAGTAGGCATATAGGGAAACTGAAGGTTTAATATTACAAAATCATAGGATCTAATGTAGAGGGAAGCAGGAAATTGGGTGAGACTGATGCTGGATGGAAGATACGGCAATGAAGCACAGTGGGTAACTGTTCATTATCCTGATTTCTGAATTTTTGAGAGAGGAATTTAATTATTAGAGGACAATGGGGACAAGCAGATTAATTTGTTCCTGTAGACACACTATGACAAATGGTAACAGTATTAATATCCAACGATCAAGCACTTAATATGAAATGGACTCAAGTTCTAAACACTAGATTTCACGCTTCTATCATGTTCATATTTTAACTGTATTCAGACAAACCATATTATTGCATGTATAATGAGGCCAGCCAGTTCTCAGATGTTGTTTCCTTAGTAACAGCTACATCCTTATGAGTATCTTTTTTTTTTACTGCTTTTTTTTTTTTTTTAGCTGAGCCATCCTGCCACCTGTTGGCAGCTCAGCGGCTGCTCAGCTTGGGCCGGGACTCGAACTGCTGTTGCTCAGAGC